GGGGGGGGGGGCGGAGGCTGGGACCCCAGGCTCTTGTCCTGCTTCCGCCACCGATCGCTGTGGGACGTGGGAGACACGAGGCCTGGGCTCGTGTCGCCCCTAGGAACTGAGGGTCAGCCTGTGTTCCCCCCCTCCCCTGGGGGGAACGCCCAGCGACTCTTGGAGGGGAGGGCTCTGACAAGTGCCTGACGGAACATTACACAAAGGCTCCCTGTCCCAGCTTCCTCACCTGTAAAATGGGCGTAATCTTAGCGCTTTGAGGCAGAAACAAGCTAAGACCCTCAGAGCACTTAGAACCGTGTCCATTGAGCTTTTACTAAACGCCTGCTGCTTTTATATTTAATCCTGGGTGGGGGAAGTTCATTCGATTCTTGCCTGAATTCTCCTGAGTACATTTTCCCCCCAAATTCAAAACAAAAGCCGTGGCCATTGTGACTATGTGAGGGGGGCCCCTGCACTTGCGGCTGGTGGGGGGGATTCAAGGACCTGCCTTCCTGGCTCCTGAGGACACGTCTTCCCTCCTGCCATCCCAGTCTCTCAGGTCTCCAAGGACTTGGAAAGGCACAAGGGTGACGAGGTGGCCCAGAAAGCCCAGGGTGAGCGACCTCGGCTCTGGGGGCCCAGGGGGAGGGGAGCAGGGGGAACCTGGATTAACACGTGGATAGAGTGCTCAGGACCACCTGTGAATTGCAAAATGAGCAGGTGACCCTAAAGGCCCAGGCTAAGAGGCTGAGGGGGCCGGTGGGGGAAAGGGGGACATGCACCGACGATGCACGTGCCCACTGAGCCCCTCCCCCACAAACAGCTGCCAAGATGTCGCAGAACATGGAGAAGATCCAAGCTGAGCAGAAGACAATGAAATCTCAGGGTGAGAGATCGGGATTGAGGGCAGGGTCTGGGGGCCACGGGGGACAGTGAGGCTGGGGATCAGGCTTGGGGACCCTCAGCCTGCAGGCAACATCCCTGACACCAGTCCTGCCCCCATCGCCACCCCCATCAGACTCTGAGCTCTCCCAGAACCTGAATGAACTTCGCGAGGACCTGAGCAACCTCCACTCCCAGGGTGAGCCTTGGGAGGGATGGGGAAGGGACAAGGAAGGGGGCTTCCAAGTGCATCTCTGACCCCCACCCCCATCCAACCGCCCCAGGCTTCAATGAGAGACACACAGCCTTGCGTGCACTGGGAAGGCTCCAGGAGGAGGTGGCGAAGCTGTGGATAGAGCTACGCACGTCCAACGGTGAGTGTGTGCGTCTGTACCCACGGGTGCGTTGGTATACGCGTGTGACAGCACAGAGGTGTGGCGGTGTGTGTTCAAATGCACGGTAGAGGTGTGTGTGACAACGTGGGTGGTATGTGGTTATGTGTGTGGCAGGGCCGATGGGGGCACACGAGAAGGCCGAGTCCAGCTGCTCCCTCCACTGATTTCAGGGTGTCCCACACTTTCTCCTCCTCCAGGTAAAGGGTGTCCCGCATTTACCATTGCTGGGTTCTCTTTCCTGACCGGCTCGGCTTAGCGGAGGGTCACCATTAGGATGCCCTTGGCCACAGCCCTCCTGGAAGATTGTCAGACCCAGCCGGGTGGCCAGAGGGGGGTCACCTCTGCAGCGATGGGGACAACAGGGACCGTGGCATCTTCCCCAGGGGTGGCAGTGATCGAGGCGATGCTGGCAGTTTTGGGGGTCATCGGGGTAGCCCCAGAAGGCTGCAGAAGGGGCAGACATTCAATTCCTTTGCCTTTATCCTGGGGAGGAACCCGGGTGTTACGGCCCTGAAGTCCCCCCATCCCACCCTGCCCTGGATATCTGATCTTCCACCTCTGGGAAGCCCCAGCTGCCCCAACTTGGCAGGAGAAGAGCAAGGATCTGTGCTTGGTGTGGAGGAGAGCTGTCCCCTGGGACGTCGTGTGGCTATGGGAATTCCAGCAAGAAATCCCGCTGTAGTCCCTCTGGGGAGGGGGAGGAAGAATCTGGATCTGGCTCACGGGGACAGACCACCTCGCAATTCTTAGCCGGTCCCTGAGGTCCCCCCCTAAGTCTAGCCCTGTGTCTTGGGGTCTGAGCCCAGCTCTGGGCTGTCTCTTGATGACCGTGTGACACACGGCCAGGGCACCTTCCCCAGAGTTTTCTTGAAGGACCCGGAGATAGTCTCTTCCTGTTTTCACGTGGCACCCTCCGAGGGCCGCGTGCTGGTTCCCCATTCACGTGTGGGCAGCACCTCCAGCTCTGTTCTCCCGGGGGTTCCTCAAGCTCTGTGGACCCCAGGCCCCTTAGAACAATTCCACCAAAGCTGCAGAGCCCGCCCTCCTCTTAGCCACTCTAAGAAAATCTATTGTCAATCATGAGTGAGTCGACCCAGTAACTGCATTTAAACTCCCACCTGCGAATGCAGTGGTGGTGACAGTGCCTGAGGGTCTCCTGGGGGTGGGGGCAAGGGTAGACAGACCAAGCTGGCCCCGGGTTGAGGCCACGGGGACCCAGCCCTCCAGTCCCCCCCAGCTCTCCTGACCAATCCCTCCAACTAGAAGAAAATCATCTCAGTTTCCAAGAGAGTGGCCACGAGAGTGGTTTTGGGGGTGTTGGCAGGGGTGGCGGCCAGGGCTGTGATTGGGGCAGTTGGTGAGGACAGGACACAGGGCAGGTAATGCTGGCGATCGTGGCTCAGCATCGCCGTCGGCCCTGGTGATTCAGTCGTGGCTGGTGCGGTGCTGGTAAGGACAGTGTCGGCCACGGTGTTGGTGGTGGAGAGACGTGGCTGGTGATTGCGGCTCCCTGCGGGGAGGATGTTGGTGATAAAGGTGTTCCTGACGGGGTGGTGTTCGTGGTCGTGGTGTTGCGGTTGAGGTGCTGATGACTACGGAGGCGTCTGTGGTCACGGTGTTGGTGGCTAGGGGCCCCTGCGGTCAGCTGGTCTTGCGTGTCAGCATCAGAGCTCCAGGGAAGAAGGCAAACTGCGAGACTCTGCTAGGCTCTGGGGTGGGTCTGCTTTCAGCCCGGACCCCGGGAGTGACTCCAGGAGAGAAGCTGCCACCCACTCTGCCTATTGTGCCCATCACGGTGCCCACCACAGAGCCTGCCACGGTTCCCACCACGGTGCCCACCACGGTTCCCACCACAGTACCCACCACGGTTCCCACCACGGTGCCCACCACGGTTCCCACCACGGTACCCGCCACGGTTCCCGCCGCAGGGCCCGCCACGGGGCCCACCACGTTGCCCACCACCGCTGCCCCCCTGAGCCTCTCCTCCACCCCAGGCTCCACGTGTAACACGTGCCCCGAGCAGTGGGTCAGTTTCCAAAAGAAGTGCTACTACTTCGGCGAGGGCCCCAAGAAGTGGATCGAGGCGCGCTTCGCCTGCAGCAAGCTGCAAGGGCGACTCGTCAGCATCCACAGCCAGGAGGAGCAGGTGGGCACGGGCTCCGCAGACGGGCGGCCAGCGCGGGCGTGGGGGAGCTGGATGCCCAGCCCGACCTCTCGTGTGGCGGGGGGACCCAGGCACGGCCCCCTGGCCCTCCAGCCCTGTCCTGCTCCCCAGGACTTTCTGACCAAACGCGCCAACAAGAAGGGCTCCTGGATTGGCCTCCGGGACCTGAACATAGAGGGCGAGTTTGTCTGGATGGATGAGAACCCCCTGGACTATAGGTGAGGGGGGGCAGAGGACAGGAGGGGGCCTCAGGCTCAGACTTGGGGGAGCTTCTGGACTGCCACCGAGGGAGACGGTCAGGGCCGGGTGCAGGCCCAGACTGGGCGGCAGGGAGCTGGGGCGGAACCCAGGGGCTCCTCCCCCCATCCTCTGACCCGAAGCCGTCTCGGCAGCAACTGGCAGCCGGGGGAGCCCAACAACGAGGGCGAGGGCGAGGACTGCGTGATGATGCAGGGCTCCGGGCGGTGGAACGACGCCTTCTGCCTCAGCCGCCTGGACGGCTGGGTGTGTGACCGGCTGGCCACGTGCTGACTGCCCACCAGCCACCTCGGCCTCCCCAGAGCCACGGGGCTGTGCCCAGAGTCGTGGACCCCCACAGCCCAGCCCACCCACCAGGTGCACCCCTCTGTGTCACTCCACCTCAAACATGGGGACAGCCAGGCCCACGGTGGGACCCTGAGGACCCCCACCCGAGGCCTGGAAGCCTCCTTTGTGGCTGAAGGGTCCTGAGGATATTTTCTCCCCGCAAAATGAAGCAGCTGACCCATCCCCAGTTCCTGCCAATGCCCCAGTGGGCTCGCCCCTTGTTCCTCAGCCCAGCTGGCCGTCACCACCTCCCTGCCTTTAAGTGCTCGGGGTTCCCACTCGAGGACCCCTGCCCATAAGCCTGAACGCCAGAAGCCCCCTCCCCACTGGGGCACGGCGCCTGGCAGCCCAGCCTTCCAGGGAGCAGCACAGGACACCTCAGGGCCCCCCCACCACGTGTGCTTCCTCCGTCATGCCACCTGGCCATCTGCTGGAGTCAGGAGCAGACACCCCCTGCCCTCCCCAGAGGCTGCCCGTGTCCCAGCCTCACAGGACAGAGACCCCCAGCTCAGGCAGCCAGCCCTCCCCGGGGCCTGCATCAAGACAGCGGGCGACGGGGCCCCTCACCCTGGCCCCCTCCTCAGGGGCCTCCCGGTGTGGAACGTGGGAGCCGGGAGCTCCAGGGCCTGGTGCCCAAGGCCACCTCAGTATTGGGGACTCAAGTGGCATTTGTACTTCACCAACGTTTTTTTTTCCTACTGGGCCTGGAGATGAAGACCCCGGGGTCCAACAGAGCAGAGAACCCCCGAGAGCCCCAGGAATGCTATAGGGCAGGGCAGTGGGCCAGCCCAGAGTTCCCAGCCCAGAACAGGGCCCAGTCCACAAAAGGTGCTAAGCGCCAGCTGGCTGGAGAGGCCCATGGGGAGGTGGCCTGGTCACCCGGCGGCCAGTTCATGGAGGTGCCAGCCCCACTCCCATTCAGGGTCTGGGGGGCCGAGGTCAACCGTGCCCCCAAGGCTGTGGGAGGGAGGGCAGCCCAGGATCACAGGACACCCCTTGTTAGACTCCTGTGCACCCCACCTCCAATTCCTGGCCTAGAAAAGCTCACATGACTCTGGGGCCACTCGAGGAGCAGGAACCCGCGAGGAGAGGCCCACGCTGAACCACTTGGAGTCCCGGGGCCGAGGGCCGGGCAGGGACAGAGCTGGGAGGGAGGGAGGGAGACGCGGGCTGGAACTCCAGGGCACCTGTTCTCTCTACCCGCTGCCCACCCCCAGATGTCCGTCTCCCCCAGACCCCTCCTCGGAACCCCGGGCCAGTTCCTAACTACCTACCAGATCTCTCCACACGGGGATTCACAGCTCCACTCTACCAGTCACTCAGGCCAACACTGGGGTCACCCTGGCCACCTCTTTCCCTCACCACCCCCTCCAAACTCATAAGGAAAGGCCATGGGCTCTGCCTTCCAGACACATTCAGAATCTGCCCACTTCTCACCCCCTCCAGCCACTGCCTTGGTGTAGCCCCCATCCTCGATCGCCCAGGTCTCCCTCTTCACTGCCCCCAAACCTTCCAGAAGTTTCCTTCCCATTCAGAGGAAAAGTCAAAGTCTTAGAGGGTCCTTTGCCATTGCAGAACCCCTCCCACGCACTTTACCTCCCGGACTTCACTTCCTTTGTCCACCTCTCAACCCGGCACCCACACCAGCCTCCTCCCGTACCTGAAACATTTAGGCTCGCTCCTACCCCAGGGCCTTTGCACATGCTGCCTCCCCTGCTAGCTCCTCGGTGAGGCCTGTCCTGAGCTCCCCCACCCCCGATTTAAAATGACACCCCCGACTCTCGATCCCATTACCCTTCTGTACTTTCCCACCACGGTACTCTTTTCCTTTCAACAAGATACATAATTTACTGATCTGTTCGCTGCCCGTCTCTACCGGTTAGAACGTGAGCTTCAGGAGGGAAGGCGCCTTTGTTTTGTTCTCAGCCGTCCCCAGCCCCTGGCACACAGTAGGCGCTCAATAAATATTTGTCGAATTAACGTGTGACCATGGGAAAATGACCTCTTCTCCTGGAACCTGCTCTGTGGCCTGTGAAGAGAGGGATACTGCCTGCCTTGGTCACTAAGGGCTGATCCTGGGTTCCTCCTCCTGCCCCCGCACCCCAGCCCACCCGCCCTCCCATCTGGGGGCTTCAGTGGAGACCTTGCAGCCCAAAGCATCCTAGGTCAGAGCTGCTATGCTGGGACCCTGCAGGACCACAGTGGCCAGTTCCTTCTCCCCATCCTCCCAAACCGGGGCCTGGCCCCACAATCCCGCAGCTTTCCCAAACCCTCTCCCTTCTCCACAAGTCCCTACTCGGCCTCGGCAGGCAGAAACAGACCCTGGGCCCTGCTCTCCCAGCTGACAAGCCCTCCCTTGGGGACCAGCCCCCCCTCCTCCCCTCTGGCCCACTGCTGGGCCTCCGGACAGAGCCGGCCTGTCTTCTGCCTCTCACTCCTACAACCTGCCCCCGCTCTCCAGCAGGCCCTGGAAGCCACTCTCACCACGGTCTCTGAGGACCCTGAGCTGCTAAGATGACTCCTGCAGCCTCCTCTGAAACCCAGCTTCTCTGGCTCTCCCTCCTCCAGGCCTGTGGCTTCTGTCTCTGCGCCGACCCCCAGACCTCCCTCCTAGATGCTGCCCCCTCAGCCCAATTCAGGCTGCCAGCCTGATCACCGGCCTCCCAGCTCCCGTGGACCCCCTCCCTCCCCCAGCCAAGAGCTATTTCCTGACCATCCCGTGCCACACGTGGCGGGCGCTCAGTGGTTTCATTCATTCTGTTGGCGCTCTCTACCTTCTTCGCAATGTGCTGAAGCCCACCCAACGCGCCACGTCTTGCTGGGATCACTGACCCTGCCCCCCGTCTCCCCACCTGTGCCACCCTCCATGACAAGGCTAGATGGAGCACCTCAAACAGCAAATCAAAAAGCTGTCCCCACTTCCCCCTTAAACCCTTCTCATAAGCAGTGAGGGGGACCCAGCCGAAAGCACCTGAGGGGTCTTCTCAAAAGAGACTTGTTCAGGTCCTGGGGGGGTGGGGGTGGGGCTGGCGAAAATTTGAACAATTTTCCCCCCAAAAGCCTGGCAGGATTGAAGCGGAGTGATCAGGGGCCAGGGTGGTAGGCACAAGGAACAGGAAGTGTCGCCTGAAGCGTCATATTTTCCTTTTTTAACAGGGAAAGTGTTCGTGTGCTGACCGTGTCTTTAGAGACTCACTTCAGCATATTTTAAGCATCCAGATGATTCTAAAGTGAGCCCACCCATTTCCCCTTTGAGAACCAGGTCTCTAGGGTCATAGCTCTCAAAGTGGGGCCCCTGCAGCACCCACAGTTCTTAGGAACTTGTCAGAGTGCAAATCCTCGGGGCCCACCCCAGATCTGCAGAAATCGGAAACTCGGGGGGTGGGGTCCAGCCACTGGGAGTTTTAACTCTGTGCTGAGAGCCCTGCTTCTCACTAAGGTCACAGGAAGTCCTGGGGATCTTGCTACAAGGCAGACCCTGCCGGCAGGTCTGGGGCAGGCCTGAGGGGCTGCATCTCTAACAAGCACCAGGTCCCAGACCACAGTTTGAATAACAAAGGTCTAAAACAGAACACCCTCCACCTGTGTTCTGGGGACACAGCCACACCCACTGCTTGACTTACTGCTGTCAACAGACTGCCGGGCATAAACTATCGACTAGCTGGTCCTTTACAAAGTGTGCCACCCCCTGGTCTAAAGGAGGTCCTCTTAGCCTGATCACTCCACCCCTCTCCACCTTGGTCTCCAACTGTGATTCCAGAAAGTGCCAGCATTTTCCCCACTCCAGCGGCACCGGCAGCTCCTTCTGCCTGGTTTGGCCTCACACAGTCCCTGGCCTCCCCCCACCCCTCTCTGAAAGCCCAGCTGGGTCAGACCTGGCCCTCCCCCACCCCTCCACCGTATTATAAACGTGCCTGAGCCTCCCCACCAGCCTGGGTCATGGTGTGGACTGGATCTCTGAGGCCCCTACACAAGACACAAGACACACTTGGGAAGGGGGCTCTCTGCATCCTTTATCTCCGGCGGGGTCAGCGGCCCTCCAGGGCCCGGTCTCGGGCGATGACCGCCTCCTCGAACTTGATCATGAGCGTGGTGCCCTTGTGCCAGTGCGCCGTGACCTTGGCGGGGAAGCCGCTGTGTGTCAGCACGGCCTCCACGATGCCCGCCGTGAAGCTGGCGCAGTTCAGCGTGCTGTTCTCCTTGGGCACGGAGATGTAGGTGTTGATGAGCGGCTCGCGCTCGATGATGTAGAAGGTGCGAGCGTCGTCGTTGGCCTGTTCCAGCTTGTCGGCCTCCTTGCCAAAGAGCGCCTTCCACACGGCGCCCTTCACGAAGAGCAGCGCGCCCAGCACCTTGGTCTCGCGCCGGGCGCCCTTTTCGCGAGCCACCAGCGCATCCAGGACGCGCGCGCCCACCTGGCGGCCCAGCGCGGCCAGGCGCGCCTGCAGCTCGGCCACGGAGAAGACGCGGCTCTGGCAGTGCTGCACCAGCTCGGAGAACAGCAGCGCGAAGGCGCTCAGGCTCACCTCGGTGCGCGGCCGCGCCAGCGCGCGCTCCAGCAGCGCCGACTTCCCGCGCGTGAAGCGCGCCTCCATGCCGCCGCCCTGCGGAGAGTCGAGGAAACGCGGGGGTCAGGGGCGGGAAGGAGAACCCTGGGGCCTCCCGCCCACCTCCCTCGTGTGCTCCATCGCACGTGGGGAGAGGTTAGTGGAAGGAAAGGGGCATCCACCTGCGCGTAAAGCCCGCCCCCATTACACCTAGTCAGGGAAGGACAGTAGGGGGAAGGGGTGAGCTTATACCCTTGCCCAGAGGGCTTATGGGGGGAAGGTGGGAGGAGAGACAAGAGGAGGACCAGAGGGGGCGCTGGAAACCACCCCAACCTTCGACTTCCAGGTGATTCCTCGCATGTGTAAAGCACCTAGGTGCCCCCTCCGCCACCTGTGGGAGTAACTAGAAAACTAGCGCATGGGGGAGGGGGGCGTCAGACCTAGGGCAGGAAGGGGACACGGATGGGGGACTGTGCGAGGACACGGGCAACTGTGCCACCCCCGCCGTGCGCTCTTACTTCCCAGGGTGAAGAGAACCTCCCCGCCTCTCCCCTGCAGAAAGCCAGAGAAACGGGAGGGGGGAGTAGGGGTGTGGCAAGACCTACGGCCAGGAGGGTTGGGGGCACAAACGAGGCACAAGGGGCCAACCAGAGGGGATGCTGGGAACCCTTCCAACCCCGCGCCTCACGCAGGAAGCGCGCCCCCTTGAGCCGCGGACGGGCTGCATTCGGAAGCAAGACTGGAAGCCGGGCAGAGAGGGCGCTGGGAGCCGCCCGACCCCGTGCTCTCCGGAAAGGTAGCTGGACCGTGGGAAACAAGAGGGAGGGGGCGGACTGTCAGACCCGGGGTTTGGGGGAGCCAGGAGGGGGGGTGGTGGTTGCCCCATCCCAGCGAGTGAAGCCACCGCGGTCGGTGGGGGAAGGAACCGGAAGGGGGCTGTTGGAGGAAACCCCGAGGGAGCGCCGAGACCTCCACATGTGGCTCTGTGGTGGGAGTGGCAGCGGAGGGGGGATCCCAAGGGCGCTGAGACTCCCTCGCCCCCCACCTCGCCCACTCAGGTGTGAAGCGGCCGCCAAGGGTGGGGTCGGGAGGGGGAGCTGAGAAGCCCGCCCCCACCGTGCAGGGCCGGGGCCAGAGGGGTCCCAGAGACGGCCCCAACGAGGTCCCAGAGATGGCAACAGCGGACCCGCAGGGGCGCGGTCCCAGGGGCTCCCGGCCCCCCCGCCTCCATGGGAGGGCCCAGCGCGCGGGACGGGAGGGGGCTGCGAGGGGGGTTGGCGAGCCGAGCGGCGGAAAGGCCGGGACCCCGAGCCCCCCGCCCCGGCGTGCACCCGCCACAGGGACCCAGGAGGAGCCCACCCTCCTCGCAGTCCCCCTGGGTGGACCGAAGCGGGCGGACCGGGGCTCACGGACGCCGAGACCCCGACACGCACAGGCCCGCGGGGAGGGGACCGGGAAGGGGGTCGGGGTCTCACCGGGAACTTCGGCCGTCGGTTCGGCCGAGCTGCTTTACGGCGCCGTAAAAGGCCCCGCGTGCGCAGGCGCGGCGGCGGGGCGGGCGTCTGGGCGGGGCTCGCACGCTCGGTGATTCCCAAGAGCGGCCGCGTGGGGGCGCGCGCGTCCGTGGTCTTGGTCCACCACCCTCAGGAGGACAGGGGGACCGGTGGTCCCTTGCTCGGGGGCACACGCCTAACGATGGGCACACATCTCTGTCTCAGGGGCACACATTCTGATGTCTTGGGGACACACGTATGTCCTTAGGCACACGTTCTCTTTTTTTTTTTTTTTAATTTTTATTTATTTATTTATTTCCCCCAAAGCCCCAGTAGATAGTTGTATGTCGTAGTTGCACAGCCTTCTAGTTGCTGTATGTGGGACACGGCCTCAGCAGGGCTGGAGAAGCGGTGCCTCAGTGCGCGCCAGGGATCCAAACCTGGGCTGCCAGCAGCGGAGTGCGCACACTTAACCGCTAAGCCACGGGGCCAGCTCGAGACACGTTCTCTTAGGGGGACTTTCATCCATGAGCCATGGGCGTAGTACATTTAGGAGCATGTGAACCACTCACGCTCAGCGGGCACATACGTGAGCACAGTTCCACCGTGGATACTTGCCTGGGGCTCATATACATCCATGGGCTCATTCAGGCACACTTAGGGAGACACTGCACATCTCAGGCCGCAAACCCGTGTGGGCACACCCTCCAGGGCACAGGGACCCACAGCAGCATTCATTCTCACCCTCATGCGCCCAGGATTCCTGGCATCACGTGCACACATTCACTGTGTGACTTTCCACTTTCCCCAAGTTCCAACACTTGCAGACCCTCCCCCACCAGGTCCCAAAGCCCCTGCAGTCGCCCCAATAACAGATCCGAAAGACACATTGTCTTCCCTTGGCCTTTATCTTCTTGCGTCGCAAAATGTGAGTGCAGAAACATAGACACACGCGTGTACATGCTCTGAACACCCTCAGTGACATAATCAGGCACACTCACATTGACATGCACCCATTCGTGCCGGCACAAGTGGTGATAACACCACAACACCCACAATTGCAGTGATACATTCTCACGGTGTGCCCCCCACACACCTCCGCCATGACACATTTATACACAGAACATACGACAAGACACTGGTGTATTTACACCGACAGTGCAACACGTGTTGCCAACACCCACACTCACAGTGACTCATCTTTGTGGTCCCTGTGGACACAGCCACCCACCGTGACATGCATGACACTCACAACATGCCACGATACACACGTGTGTCACATATCCAGTGACACAGGCGTGCACACCACACTCGCTGTGACACCTAAATTTAACATTCACCCATATAGCCTTCCTGTGGGACACACTGAAATGGCCATCCTCCATGAAATGCTTAACCCCCCGACACACACACGCACGCAACTCCACGACACTCATTCACCATGACACATGGTTTTTTTATACATGGGGATGAAGGACCGGTTCAGATCAGGCAGGGCCCCCATTTTCCATCTTCACTGGGAGGTGCCACCCCGTCCTCCATGCTGCAGCCAGGGTTTTGATGTCTTATTTACTAGGTGTGGGCTCTGGGGGGAAGCGGGTGGAGACCGAGGTCAGACAGACCCCACCCCTGGGAGAGAAGCTGGAGCCAGATCTGGGGCTGCCATCCACCTCCCTCAGCCCCAACTTACGTTGCTTTGGCGGCTTCAGCTCGTTAGAGATTTTCTGTACTGCATGCTGGATGTCATTCGTGTCTGGGGGTGGGGGAGGGAAAGCTAAAGTGGGGCCTCAGACAAGACCCCCATCTTTATCGGAAGCCCCCTCTGTGTGATCCCCAGCCTGGGGTGCTGCAGAGCCTGTGTACTTGGGGTTGCCAGCAGCATTTAAATACCCTCTGAGTGACAGGGAGGATGACATCCATCACCCCTCCCAACCCTGCACTCTGGGAGGGCGGGGCCCCTGCTGTCCCCTCCCCAATCCCCAGCACCCAGCCTGATGTTGGGCACGGAGACAGATTCGCCCGGCGAAGGTCTGTAAGGGCACCTGCTGACAGCTTCTGCAGTATCTCATTCCACTTCCGGACACTGCTCTTCATCTGGTCAACGTGCCCCTTGGTCTCCTTGACGTGCTTCAGGACTTCTGTGCAGCCCAGCTTCTGCTCCTCTTGGCACTGTTGCACCAAGATGGAGACTGAGGGCGTGGAGCAGAGATGTCTGTGTCACCGCTGCTCCCCCTATCCCCACCCCGTCCCCTCGGGCCTCGCCCAGGGCCTCCCCTCACCGTTCTGGAGCTCTGTTTTCAAGTCCAGGAGCTCCTGGGACATCTCGGAATCTGTTCAGGACGGGGGACGGAGAGGGGCAGGAAAGACCTTGAAGGGCCCCAGCTCTGCAGTCCTGGGAGCAGGAGCGGGGGAAGGGAGAGTGGAAGCCCTGGGCCTCCCCAGCTCCTGAGGGCCCCTCTGCACCACCCCAACCCCTGCCCCTGCCAGCAAAGCAACAAAAACAAAAAATAAACCCACTCACTCTTCACCAGGGTCAAGGCCAAGAGAGTGATGCAGACCAGGGCGAGGAGAAGGTACAGGCTCATGATGGCTCTGTGTAACCAATGGGGGACCTGGGCAGACTCCGAGGGTGGCCTGGACCAGGCTGGGACTGGGGCAGAGGCAGGACAGGTGACCTCCAGGGCCCAACACTGCCACTCGGACCATCAGCACTGACTCAAACACCATCAACAGCTCTGTCACCTACGCCCTCTCTTCCCAGTACCATAAGCAGCTGTGACCATCAACAACACGGCCACTAACATGTACCCTGACCAATGCCACCAGCAGTTGTCACCATCAAGCCCCCCTGACCATCCCCATCACCAACACCCAGCAACTTCAGTGCCCATCGTTGCCAGCATTGTCCCCATCAACAGGGTTCATCAGCACCCTCATCCGCTCTAAGTGACTCCTCCCTGATCCACTTCATGGACACTTACTGCCCATCCCCATCACCCAAACCTTCACCAACACTTCCCTCAGCACAATCACCACCCCCATTGTCATCAACATCTGCACAGCTACCCTCCACCACTGTCACACACGAGGCTTGCCGCCGCCACACCCCCCACCGTTGACCCCGACCTCCACACGCTGCCCCTTGTCCCTGCAGTGCCCTCCCATGGGCCCTTCCCAAGGCTGTGGGATGTGGGCTGGCGGGCGGCTGCTTACCCTGAGTCTTGGGTGGTGAACGACTACCCTTTGACTGGTCCCGGTTTCTGAAGGTCAAGGTGATATTTTCATAGTTGGGGTCACTTGCACCTGTGGATGGGTCCGTGGGAGGGGTTGTGGAAAGCTGCGTGGAGCTCTGGGGTGAGGGTGAGGGCCTCAGAGATCTCGGTTCACCAAACCCCCGCACGTAACCAGTTTCTGGGGGTGAAAGATAAGAAGTGGGGAGCTAAGGTCTACACACACACATTTTGGCTAGGGGAGGGAGCTCTCTGGTCACGACATTCAGCATCTTACCTCTCCCATCTCAACTTCTCTGTCTTGATCTCTCCCCTCCCCACCCCCAAGTGCCTAACCTTCTTTGCTGGCCGAGGACCCCCGTTTCTCTTTGAAGGCTGCCACCTGCATCTTGACCTCCTGGTTCATGTAGATTTCCTCAGCCTCCACGGCGCTCAGTCTGCCAGTTTGTCCACACACATCCCCACCCACCGGAAGGTGTCGCGACAGATGAGGAAATCTCTGGGTTGGGGTGTGGGTGGGGAGGAGGGGGAGGCCAGCCTCCTCTTTTCGGGGATCCAGGACCTTTCCACTCTGGAGCATCCTCACCCCCGCCAGATCGAGAAGGTTCTTGGGAGACCAGAGGTCTTGGGGAAGACCAAGAAGAGAAGCCCATAGACCTGGAGATAGACTAGAATAGTCAGGAACTTGTGACAGAGGTGTTAGCTAACACGACGGTCGGTAGTCATCATATTGCAATATATAAATGTATCATCACATCAACATGTTTTACACCTTAAACTTACACAATGTTATATGTCAATTATATTCAATAAAAATATTTTTTTTTTTAAAAAAAAGGATGATCAGGAACTTTACTGGAAGCTCTGTGTGTGTGTGTGTGTCTGTCTGTCTGTCTACCTGGATGAATTTCATCCTCCCATGTCCTCTCTCAAGAGACGAGGTGTGGCACTTCAGGGTCCCACCTTCTGGGTAGAGGCAGCCAGCCTCGGAGATAAGATGCCTGGGTCCCCCACACCTTCCTCCCTCCCGCCCCAGTCCTACCCCTCAGCTCCACCCCAAGAATTTCTACTTCTTCAAGATCCCCTGGAGGAAAGGAACGGATGTGAGGCAACAGGGCTAACCACTGGAACTCCACACCCACATCTGGGACTAAGGCCAGACCCACGCCCCCATCCCCGGCTTTGACCCAACCCTGGAAGTACGGTTTCCCCTCAACCAGGAGACCCCAGATGGAGAAATGCTCAGAAACACACCCATGCTCATGCACACATCTGCTCACTTACCCAAACTCACACATACACACACACACACGCTTGCACACACTCACCCCCGAATACCCCCAGTCACACATCTGCTCATGTACACACATCACATGCTTGTTTGCATACGTCTGCATGGCTTACCTAGAGAAATATACATATTCATGAGTTCACACTGTCTAGAGGGTGGCATAAAGCTTTCTTTGTGTCTCTCTAACCTTGAAAACTAGGGATAAAAATAACACAAGGTGTATAGGGAATTTTCTCTAAGTCTAGAGCAGTGCCTTCTAAAAGAAATATAATGTGAACCACATGTTTAAAAATTTTCTAGCGGCCACATTAAAAAAGTAAGAGACACAGGAGCCGGCCTGGTGGCACAAGTGGTTAAGTGCGCGCGCTCCACTGCAGCCGCCTGGGGTTTGCCGGTTCGGATCCTGGGCGCACACGGATGCACCGCTTGTCAGGCCACGTTGAGACTATTACTTCAGGAGCCCTCTCAGGCCACAGTGACATGGCTGCTTGTGTGCCTCCAGTTTCATGGCTGCCTTTTTCTCGAAGTTAAGGGGGCTGGAACCTGGTCTGAGCCTCATCTGAGCCAGAGAAATGTGCAATGCTGAGGCCCCGCCCCCTGCGCCTGTCCATCAGAGCAGAGCCAGCTCCCCATTGGTCCGTTTCCTCTGTGGCTGTTACCTCAGAACAGGGTCAAATCTCATTGGGGAGGTAGCATGGAATTACTATTACATCGATCTTTCTTGAACAGAGTAGGTTGGCAATAATTTAGAAAACAAACTACTATTTTCACCAGATCTTAGGGCTCATTTCCAAAGTTATCTCGAATTTAATCACATCTTTTTGTGTGTGTGTGTGTGAGGAAGATCAGCCCTGAGCTAACATCCATGCTAATCCTCCTCTTTTGCTGAGGAAAACCGGCTCTGAGCTAACATCTATTGCCAATCTTCCTCCTTTTTTTTTTTCCCCCAAAGCCCCAGTAGATAGTTGGATGTCACAGCTGCACATCCTTCTAGTTGCTGTATGTGGGACGCGGCCTCAGCATGGCCGGAGAAGCGGTGCGTTGGTGCGTGCCGGATGGAACCCTGGGCTGCCAGTAGCGGAGTGTGCGCACTCAACCGCTAAGCCCGGGGGCTGGCCCTAATCACGTATCTTGAACCTAAAATATACTCAGTTCCCGCACATAGGAGGTCTTTTACTTATTTTTTCCAAAGCGAGAAAACGATAATTCTCTCAACAAGCGCTGTCCAACGCGGCAGCCACCGAGCACTTGAAATGGGGCCAAATTGAAATGCACCTTAACGGTAAACACACATTTGATTTCGAAGACCTAATATAAAAAAATGGTTAACTATCTCAATAATTTTTAAGTCTCGTCTATGTCCTAAAGTGATAATATTTAGGGTATATTTTGTTAAATAAAATACATTATTAAAGTGAATTTAGCCTGTCTCTTTTTTTTTTTTTTTTTGTGAGGAAGATCGGCCCTGAGCTAACATCTGCCAGTCCTCCTCTTTTTGCTTAAGAAGATTGGCCCTGGGGCCGGCCCCGTGGCTTAGCGGTTAAGTGCTCGCGCTCCGCTGCTGGCAGCCCGGGTTCGGATCCCGGGCACGCACCTACGCACCGCTTGTCAGGACATGCTGAGGCCGAGTCCCACATGCAGCAACTAGAAGAATGTGCAACTATGACATACAACTATCTACTGGGGCTTTGGGGGGAAAAATAAATAAATAAAGTTTAAAAAAAAAGAAGACTGGCCCTGGGCTAACTCTAAACCAGGAGAGTGGGCACGTGATCCAGGCCCAGCCAATCAGAGTCTAAGATTTGGCACTGGGGTGGGCAAATGGGCCAGACTCAGCCAATGAAACTCAGGCCTGGCACTTTTATTGGGTTAACCAAGAAAAAAAGGCATTCTTCCTTTTTTCTCCTCCACTGAGGCTGTCACACTGGGAGGATGTAAGCCTCGAGCTGTGATAGGGGAGAACGCGCTTGAGAGTGAAGCAGACCCAAGAAGGAGTCGTCATTTGAGACCCTGGATCCAGCCATACCTGAATCTGTTATTCTAACCCTGGGTCTCTCGGTTACATAATCCAGAAGCTTCCTTTTACTTTTGCTCAAGCTAGCTTGAAGTGGAGTCTGTGGTACTTGCAACTAGAAGAATCTTGGCTACCACAGGGGGCTGGGCAGTTGGCAAATGAGGAAACGGAGGCTTGAGAAGGGGGCTTGCCTGTCCAAGGTCACATAGGCAGTAAGATGTGATCTCCAAGTCTGCACCCTGGGACAGGAGGATGACTGTGTTGGAATTGAGGGCTCTGAGAAAACCCTTCTTGGGGACCAGATACAGGGGACAATTGAGTGCAACTTGGAGGTAAAGGCATTCACATCAGCATCTGGGGACAAGGGAGGACTCCCTGCTGCACATCAGTGAGAGAGACAGGTCCTGGACACACTTCTGACTCAGTGGACCCCCCCAAACCCCATGGCCGCAGTGGGGTTAGGACGGAGGACCTGGGAGAGAAATCCCTGGGTTGGGATCTGAGTGGGCCCCACAGGCACCAGGAATGTTCATGATCTCAGCTCATGGCCACCAGGATCAGGCAAGGGGCTGTGCCACCATAGGGAGTAAGTGGCAGTGGGGGGAGAGTGCAAAACATCCCCCAAACCAGGACCCCACCCTATCACCCGTTCATCAGCCCCTGGAGTCTGCTGCTGGGGACTGTGACATTTAAGTCTGGGCTCCCTTTTAAGACTGGGCACCACGTGTTCTGAAGTCTGTGTCTGTGTCTCACAGGGGCTGGCTTTTAAGACTCCTGGGTTAGGATTCCCAGGGAACTGAACCTTAAATCACCTGGAATTGTGCCCCCAGGGAGCTGGGGCAGGGGATACTGGAGGTTTGCCTTCTAGGGTGTGCGTCCAGATTGGGACCAGTGTCATCCGGGGGGGGGGGGACTTGATGTTGGGAGCATGAGAGGCTGTCTGAAGCATATATGTGTCTATGTATCCCTGTGTCCCCCCACACAAAGGGCACGTCTGTGTGCTTCAAGCGTGCCTTCCTGCGTCCACGTGTGTGTCTGTGGGCGGAATGTCTTTGTGTGACCATGGTAACTGGATTGTGTATTGTGTGTTCACGTGGCCATGTGTAACTGTACGTGTACATGCAGTGTGTGCACCTGGGTGGTGTATCCACGTGTGTATTGGGTATTTATTCAACAGGCATTTCCTGACCGCCTACTGTGTGCCATGTTCTCTTCTAAGCGACGGGGACACACCAACGAGCAAACAAGTCCCCTGCCCTGAGCTTCCGTATTCGAGTGTTCCTTAGGGCGTCTGTGCCCCTGGGTCCCGCGGGTTGTAACTGCTCGAAACTGGGCCTGCGCGAGTGAAAACGTCAACTTGCGTGCGTGGCCACAGGTAGGAATTCTCAGCAGGCCCCTGTGAAGATTCCTTCCTGTCGTCGACCTGGCTTTGCTTCCACCTTGGGGGTCCGTCGATGCAGGTTGGGAGGGAGGGCTGGGGGCTCAGGGTTCTGGGCTGAGAGATGATTCGGGGGTGCACCCTGACTCTGGGGCTGCTGGGGGCTTGGGGTCCTGGGGTGTATGTGGAGTGTGGCAGGCGGTGGTCCCTGTTCCGTCCGGACCCAGATCCTGGATGAAGCCTCATTCGGGAAGTGGGAAGTCGGGGAGCATGACCCAGCAACTTCCCGGGAGGCCTGCGACCCGAGAGGGGCCGTCAAGGTGACCTCAAAGGTAACACCCACTTCCCCTCCTGAAGGATGCCAGGAGCCTTGGGTGTGGGTAGCATTAGAGGAAGTTGAGGCCCCATTCTCGGAGGCAGAGGTAAGGGACATGGGAAGAGGGGGGAATGGGGCAGAAGAAAGTCGCAGGCGACCCTCTCCCGGCCTCCCTCCGGCGTCCAGGCGCCGCGTTCTTTTTGGAGACGCCAGCTCAGCCCCCCACACCCCACAAAGGACACAACACACTGCCCGGATCTCTTCTATCATCTTCTCAGTTTATTTCCAGCCCTGCCCCTCTGAGGCCTGCCCCCGCCCCCCGCCTCACCCCACCCCCAGGCCTGGGCCGCGCTGCGCACGCGCGACCTCAGGCGGCGAGCTGCATGCGACAGCAGCGCGCGGCCGTCCAGTCCATGCCCTTGCACTGGCAGTGGCATGTAGTCTCGGCGCGCACGTCCCACGAGCCACAGGCGGAGCCACACGCGCAGCCAGTGACAGCGAAGCCTGCGGGGGGCGGGAGTGGGGGAGCTTGAACCCCGAGCAGGAGGCTGCGGGGCTAGGGGTCCAGGGGGCTGCAGGCTCCCACACCAGAGAAAGGGAGCCGGATGCGTGGGCGGCGGAGGGACTGGGGGCCTGAACACGAGTGTCCTGAGGAAACTGGGTCCCAGAACTGTGGGGGAGGGAGAAGGCTGGGGGTGCGGAGCAGGACTCTTGGGAAGTAGAGGCTGGGACTCCAGGGTCCTAGAGAAATAGAGGCTGGACATGAGGGGAGGGGGTTCGGGGGTACTGGGAACAGAGGTAAGAGCCTGGAAATGACACTTCTCTACTCACCTCTGGGGCAAGTGGCCAGGTCCCCGCTGTTGCTGATGGTTCGGCAGTCCAGACCAATGTTCCTTATTACCTGAAGAACTGTGGGAGGGAGGGGCGGGCTGTGAGACCAAGCTGCCCCTCCCCCATTCTCAGGGCGCCCAGGCCCGGGTAGTTTGGAGATAGGCAAGGGGTCAAGAAAACCCTGGGGGAGGCCCAGGTGGTCCTGGCCCTGGTGGAAAGCCCAGGTGGTGGGCAGGTCACTACCTCCCAAGATTCGGTCTTGATTTGAGTGTTTTGGAGGAAGGAGGGTTTGGAGCTATGGTTTAAGGTGGAGCTGGATTGGGGCTGGGAGTGGGTTGGGTTTGACGTAGAGGTTTGCTTAGGGTTGGGTTGGAACTTGAGATTTTAGTTGGGGTTGGGCTCAAGGTTGAGGTTTGGTTGGGGTTGAGATTGGGTTCGGGCTGGGGTTGGGGCTGGCTTGATGTTCTTCGCTTCATATCAGGACTCACGGGGGCCTCTGAGGCCCCTGGTCAGGTTGAATGTGAGGGTCCTCACTTAGGGCTCTGGTAACATCCTGGATCTTCTCATTCATGGCTTCATCCACGGGACACAGCATCCTGCCACACACCAGCAGTCCCAGGGCGGGAAGGAGGAGGAGGGAGAGAGCCTTCATCCTGCAGGAGCTGTGAGAGGGAACCCACAGCGGGGTTGGCCCCTTCCCAACCCCGGGGAGGGTCAGGTCCGCAGAGCGCATGGGATGTGGAACCCTGGGTCCCTGTGGAGGACGGGGCTGGAGGCCCAGCTGTCACTTACCCTCTCGGTGAACTCGGCAGGGCAAATCTTGGACTCGAACTCCACGCCCTTGCCACATCTCACTCTTTAAGTCCTCAGGGTGTGGGGCTTCCTGTCTTGGCTAATAAGTCCACTGCCCCCTGCTTCTCCCTTCCGACATCAGACATCCGGGGCCAAGAGGACGCTCTTGGGACAGACTCCAGGGGCCCAGGGGTAGGGGCTCTGCCCCCCTACCCCCACATCTCTTGCAGCCACTTCTTTCAAGAGCTCTCCTTTCCCGCATCCAGGCTGGGGCAGGTCCAGGAGGTAGTGCCTGGGGGATGATTCCAGAAGCCATAGTCTGAGGGACAAGTAGAGAAACAGGAATTTGTGTGCAGGGGTGGAGAATGCAAACATGACCAAAATGTCCCCGTGTGAGAATTGCGCACCATGTTCATACCCAGATGCCTATCAGCAACAGAATGGATAAATAAAATCGTGGTTTATTCCTTCAAGGAACAATCTACAACAGAAGGTGGCAAACTACAGCCCGTGAGCCAGATCCAGTCCACCATTTGTTTTTGTATAACCCACAAGCTAAGAATGGCTTTTACATTTTGGTTTCCAATACAAATGGATTTTTGAAATTGTAGTAAAGTACATATAACATAAAACTTACCATTTTTGGGGCCGGCCCCGTGGCTTAGCGGTTAAGTGCACACGCTCTGCTACTGGCAGCCCGGGTTCGGATCCCGGGCGCGCACTGACACACTGCTTGGCAAGCCATGCTCAGGTGGCGTCCCACATACGGCAACTAGAAGGATGTGCAACTATGACATACAACTATCTACTGAGGCTTTAGGGAGAAAAAGGGGGAAAAAAAAAAAGGAGGAGGATTGGCAATAGATGTTAGCTCAGGGCCAGTCTCCCTCAGCAAAAAGAGGAGGATTAGCATGGATGTTAGCTCAGGGCTAATCTTCCTCAAAAAAAAAAAAAAAATACCATTTTTAAGCGTCCTGTCAGTGGCATTAAGTACACTCACATTGTTGTGCAACCGTCCCCACCACACATCTCCAGAACTTGCTTATCAGCTTAAATGGAAACTCTGTCCCCATTAAATACTAACTCCCCATTCCCCCTCCCCCAGCCCCTGGCACCCACCGCTCAACTTTCCGTTTCTATGAATTTGGCTATTCATACCTCAAATAAGTGAAATCATACAATATTTACCCTTTTGTGTCTGGCTTCTTTCACTGAGCACACTGTCCTCAAGGTTCACCCATGTTGTAGCAGGTATCAGAATTTCCTACCTTTTTAAGGCTGAATAATGTTCCATTGTATGGATAGACCACACTGTGTTTATCCATTCATCTGTTGATGGACAGTTGGATTGTTTCCACCTCACGGCTGTTGTGAATGATGCTGTTATGAACATGGGTATACAAATATCTCTTTGAGACCCTGCTTTCAATTCTCTTGGGTATATACCCACAAGTGGAATTGCTGGATCATATGGCAATTCTATGTTTAGCGCTTGAGGAACTGCCAAAAAGTTTTTACATTTTTCAATCACTGAAAAAAATTTTAATATTTAGCGACATATAAAAAGCATATGAGGGGCCGGCCCAGTGGTGTAGTGGTTAAGTTCGGTGTGCTCTGCTTTGATGGTGTGGGGTTCGTGGGTTCAGATCCCGGGCGTGGACCTACACACTGCTCATCAAGCCACGCTGTGGTGGCGTCCCACATACAAAATAGAGGAAGATTGGCAGGGATGTTAGGCCAGGGCCAATCTTCTTCACCGAAAAAAAAAAGTTTTCTTGGAACACAGCCATGCCCACTTTGTAATACTTCTGCTATGGCTGGTTTCACACGTTCTTGGCAGATGTGAGTGGTTGTGGCAGAGACCATATGGCCCATAAAGCTGAACATGTTGGGGCCGGCCCGGTGGCGCAAGTGGTTGGGTGCGCGTGCTCCGCTGCGGCGGCCCGGGGTTC